CTTTTCGGCTACACCTGGTGCTTCAGAGATCATATGCAGTGCCAAATATCGAACCAGGACCTGCTGCATGCAAGGCAAGTGTACTTGGTTTTTCGGTCATACCTGGTGCTTCAAAGATCATACACAGTGCCAAATATCAAACCAAGGAATGCTATACTTTCTCTCTTACCCCTATATAGTGCTTTTTAACAAGCAGCAATAAAATGAATTATTTTAAGCAATGTTTTATATAGTAAAATAAGACTATGGGAAAACAAAATGCATCTCCTGCTGTATTTTTGTCACTGAAAAGGAGAACTCCAGATGAATGAACTAATTAAGCATACCCTAAGTACTAGAAGAATTTTTCTTTTGAAAATAGCTGAGATGCTAATTTTCTTTATGTTTTTAATTTTATTGATTCACCGTGAGATATAGTTACACGCTTTTATGTTTGAGTTACAATCACACAATGATCAAATACCCATCCCTCCACCAGTGCACATTCCCCACCACCAATGTCCCCAGTATACCCCCACCTTTCTCACACTCCTACTGCCTCCATGGCAGACAATATTCCCCATTCTCTTTCTCTATTTTTAGGCACTGTTGTTTGCGATGCAGATAATGAGAGGTTGTCATGTTTTGTCCTTTATCTATTTTCGGCACACCTCTCCCATTCCAACCGATTCCTCCAGCCATCATTTTCTTAGTGACTCCTTCTCTATTCCAGCTGCCTTCTCCCCTTTGCTCATGAGGCAGGCTTCCAGCTATGGAAAAATCTTCCTGTCCCATGTATCTACTATCATTAGGTGTCAGCCTCATGTTATGTTGTTTTATACTCCACAAATGAGTGCAGTCCTTTTATGTCTGTCCCTCTCTTTCTGACTCATTTCACTTATTTCTCTTCGCATGATACTCTCCATGTCTATCCATTTATAAGCAAAGTTCATGACTTCATCTCTCCTAACAGCTGCATAGTATTCCATTGTGTAGATGTACCAAAGTTTCTTTAACCAGTCATCTGTTCTCGGTCACTTGGGTTGTTTCCAGATTTTGTCTATTGTGAACAGTGCGGCAAAGAACATATATCTATTGATGTGATTTCTACTGTGCTTTTTTGAAACCTTGGGATATATTTCCAAAAGTTTTATTGTGGGGTCATATGCAACTCAATTTCTAGTTTTTGAAGGACATCCATATTGTTTTCCAGAAAGCCTGGACAAGTCGGCATTCCCACCCACAAGAAGCTATTGATCAGAAATTCTGTATAGTAAACTTATACAAAATGCAAACAGCACCCGGCCCAGACAAGGTCAGACCGGAACACCTGAAGAACCTGCTGTCAGTACTCATCAATACACTGACTTGGTTCTTCACACACTACCTGTCTGAATGAAAGGTTCCCTCTCAGTGGAAAACCAGCAGAACTGTACTACTGTACAAGAAGGGGGACATCCACGACATTGGCAACTATAACCCGGTCTGCGTATTGTTTGTCATCTACAAGCCGTTCACTCGAGTCATCCTTAACAGGATTGGCAGAAACTAGATGAAGGACAACCATGCAATGAAGCTGGGTTCCACAAAGGAATCAGCACAATTGACCATATCCCCACGATAACCAAGCTCATTTTGGTTTCTCGGGAGTTCAAGATGCCTCTCTGTCTAACGTTCATTGATTTAAAGAAGTCCTTTGATTCTGTTGAGACTGAAGTGGTCATCGAGGCCCTAGCCAAACAGGGCATTCAATGTCAATACATCAGGATCCTCTGTGAGCTGTATTGCAGATTCTCTACCAGGATCTCACCATTCTACAGGGAGGTGATCATTGACGTCAAGAGAGCGGTTCGGCAGGGTGATACCATTTCACTGAAACTCTTCAGTGTCACCCTCGAGAACATCATGCAACAACTGGAATGGGAAGGAATGGGAGTGAAGATAGATGGTCAGCAACTACACCACCTCCACTTCGCTGATGATGACATCATTCTTATAATACCAAACATCAGACAAGTGGCACAAATGCTGGCCGACTTTGACGGTGAGTGTGGAAAGGTCAGACTACAGCTGAATCTCACAAAGACAATGTTTATGAGAAATGGTCTCATTCTTGAAGTTCCATTCACTCTCAATGGGACGAATATCTCTGAATGCAATAGTTGTTTGTACCTAGGTCGAGAAGTCAACTTGATGAATGACCTCGCAACTGAGTTGCGCAGGAGGAAGAGAGCAGCTTGGAATGCCTTCAAGAACGTCGAAGAAATAGCTAAGAGGACGTAGAACCTCCGGCTCCGGGCACATCTCTTTGATTCCACTGTTCTTCCTCCATTAATATATGCTTCAGAGACGTGGGCCCTACGAAAATAGGATGAGAACATTATTTGGGTCTCCCAAAGAGGAATTGAAAGAGCTATGCTTGGAGTATCACGCTTCACTCAAATGAGAGAAAGAATCCGGTGTTCCAACCTATGTCAACGGTCAATTATCAGGGACAATGTCTCATTTGCCAAGGCGTCAAAAATCATATGGGCTTGGCACGTAATGAGATTTGGAGACAACCGCTGGACTAGAGCCTCACTGACTGCATTCCATGGAATGTCAAAAGATTGCGTGGCTGACCACGAAAGAGATGGTCTGACCTCTTCGTCAAGACCCTGAATGATTGGTTTGAGGCTCTTTGTGTCCGTACAACAAGTAGATGCCATTGGGCCACATTAGCACGTGACAGGGACGAATGGAGACGTTACTGGTGCCCGCTCAAGCAAATCGATGAGTAACGGGATGTCAAGTGATCAAGTGATCAAGAAACTTATACACAAAAGACATTTTTAATGTAAAAACTCACTTAACAATTTGAAAACTGGGGCTAAAGAGAGTACAATGGGTAAGGTACTTGCTTTGCAAGCAGTCCATGTGGTTTCATCACCAGCACCGCATATTATTCCTGACCACTTCCAGAAAGTATCCCTAAACAAACATCCAGAATTATATTAGCAATGCAGAATAAGACCCAAGAACAAACAAACAAACAAAAAGAAATGTTCAAAAGAGCAAAACAACAAGATGAAACATAATAACTCCTAATAAATAAGATGTGGCAGATATGTTAAAGGTCTTAAGTATGTACTTAAGGGAAAAACAATAAAAAAAATTAGAAACTATATGAAAACAGTAGTCAATGGACTGGAGAGATAATACAGTGGATAGGGACTGAAGGAATAACACAGTGGGTAGGACTTTTGCTTTCCACGCAGCCAACCCGGGTTTGATTCCCAGCATCCCAAGCACCACCAGGAGTAATTCCTGAGTGCAGGGCCAGTAGTAACCCCTGTTCATAGCGAGGTGTAACCCAAAAAACAAAAACAAAAAAAGAGAGAGGAGAGAGGATAGGGTGCTTGCTTTACTCATAGTTGACTCAAGTTCTATCCCCTGCATGACACAAACTTTTGTCAGAATCACAGATCCAGGAGTAAACCCTGAGAACTACTGCCAATTGTGTCCAAAAGAGAAAAAAATATTCAAGCTGACATATACAGATTGATATTAAATTAATAAAATATCACACATGTTAAATAACAAGATAGTATATGAAAAACATGTCGTATAAATGACATCATTCATTTATGTACATCTCAGAAGTGTACATGCATATAACCGTCAATATTTAGGAAAACCTCCAACTATGAACAGAAATTTAAGTAAATTTAGAGTACACTTTATAAATAGCTATCAAAACTTAATGCATATGTAACCATATATCCCAAAATTCTACCTTACTTTGACTTAGTCACACTCTTTTTGGTAACTTTATACAATAATTTTATAGCATTACATGTAGCACAGCTAACTAATTTGAATAAAATTAAAATAATTTGTTAAAATGAAAAGTTACTTAAGCTAAGCTTATTATTTTTGTAGTGTATAGTTAATCAGAATGGGGAAATTGTGAATTATGTATCAGAGAACAAGAATTCTATTTCTTGCTCTGGTTATAATTCCATACTTTTTAATTTACAAATGCCATGGCATGAGTTATTAAAGCTTTCTGATGCTCAGCTTCTTCATCTTTTTGAAAATTATTAAGATCATTTTAAGTATATTCTAGGTATGGGACTTAGTAAAGAGAATAGAAAAATCACTTGTTCTAGTTTTACAAATTATCTTAGTTACACTGAACTATCTTTAGGCAGCTATGCCAGCAAAGAAAGAGTTTAATTTGCATCAATAATTCCCGAGTTTCCCTGGGCTTTTAAACTTGAAATCATCTTCAAAATTGCTCATACTAATCTGTAAGTTTTCCTGTACTCTGTGAGTAAGCTTTCAAAAATTGTCTGACCTTAGAAGCTTCTACTTATCATTAAGTCCTTCCCTGATTTCGAAGCCAAGAAAAACACCTCCCTCTTCACTGTCAAGACACTTCTAGTCTGCTATTATGCCTCCTCCCCCATTATTGCTCACTAACTCTCCTGTAATCCCTGAGTGATCCCTACCATTCCTGATAACAGTGTTGCCACACATTCTACTGCCACTAAGTCCCCTACTGCCAGTCAAATGTATATCTACCCAGAATAAAAAAATCTTCCTCTGACAAATTCTGAAAAGACAAGACAGCACAAACTTTCGGCTAACAAAATAGTTATTTTATTATTCTTTTTTGCTTTATTAAAAAACGAGGTACACTGGCATGTAGCACGTTTTTAAGATTAAAAATAAATGGATATATGTGTATATTGCAAAAATATCAGTGCACTGTCTACATATTTATGAGCACTTATGGATTTGATTAACTGTGTGTGCTAAGAGCATTTAAGATTTACTCTATTGTTTTCAAATATGCAATACAAGTAGTTCATGATAGTTTTTATACATCGCCAGAATTTACTTACAATTTGAAGTTTCTTCCTTTATAAATTCACTTTTCCCATTTTTTCCTCCTGTCATCAACTGGCAGCCATCAATCTGTTCTGTGAGTTCATATTTTACATATTTTACAGTTATTTTTTCTTTTCTTTTTAACAAACAGATAGGAGCATTTAGGGTGTTAGGAGCCCTAATCATGCAAAGACCTTAAGCACTAATTATAAAAACTTCAATCATCATGTTCTATCTGACCTCTGAATAGAGGAACAGATAAGAATCATCTAACCTGACAAACACAGTTAATGTTTTGTAAATGAGATCATATAATATTAGTCTCTCTAATTTAGCATAAAGCCCTCAGTGCCCATTTATATTGTTACAAATAATATGTTCCTTTATATGCGCCTCAATATTGTTTAAATGTTTGTTATTTGTATATGTATGTTTATTTGTATACACTTTTGAGTAAATATTTATATCATTTTTTGTCATCCATTCATCTAGCTGCTGTATCCATATCTTGGCTGCTATGAGTGTACAGCTTTGCATACTCGGTTGACCAAGAAGAGACTAGGGTCATTTAATTGGCTACACTTAGGTATATTTTTAAGACTTTATTCTAAAAAACATTTTGTTTGTGTGTTAGTATGGTACCTCAGTTTAGTTGTATACATATACTTATTCATTTTTTTTGGTATTATTTATTAAATAAATTTCACTTTATTGCTAATTCTTGATTCTTGTTATAAATAAATTGACCATCTATGTATCAACTTATATTTGTATTATTTGGGTACAAAATAATTTATATTTCTTTTTGGGATCTCTATTTTGTTTCATTTAATTATGTCTCCTTTTATTCTAGCAAAACCTTTTTGTTTTGTTTTGTTTTTTGACTTTCGGGTGCAAGGCGAGTATATACTATACTATCACTCTAGCCCCTAGTGCAATACAATCTTAATTAATATAGTTTCAAATTGTAGTTTTAAATAAGGTAGTATGATGGCTTCACATATGTTATATTTTCAGTTGATTTGATTATCAGTGTCTTTAGTAACTCCATATAAATTTAAAAGTTGTTCATTGTTAACAATCTTAAATTTGTAATATTGAGGTCATGGAGAGATAGTATTGCAAATAAGGTAATTGCTTTGCATGCTGCTAACTTGGGCTTGATCCCGAGCACCACAAATGGTTTTAATAGTACTGCATGAAAACTGAGCACTTCGTGATAACTAAGCACAGTGCCAGGATTAAGCCTTGAGTATGATTAGGTATGCAGCCACATTCAGCCAAAAGGTTGCATTGAACCTGACTGTAGATTACTTTTTGATGAACTATAATCTATTGTTAGTAATATTAATTCTTTTAGTGTATGAACAAGGTTTACCTCTCCATTTTTTTATATATTAGATTTCTTTTATTACACTTATGGTTTTCAGTGCATAGCTTTTTAACCTCCCTGGATGTATGTACTTCTAAATATTTTAATCTTTTTACCGGAATTGTATATGGCTTATTATATTGTACTTTTTTGGAGGTGGAGTTGAGGGCACAACGATGTGTGCTCAGAAATCACTCCTTGTGGGCTCAAAGACCATATGGGATGCAGGGATTGAACCGGGTAGGTTATATCAAGGCAAGTGCCCTGCGCTGTTACTCCAACCCCGACAGCTTATTTTCTTTAATTTCACCTTCTTATGTTTATTTGTGCACACAAACACTTTGTATATTGAATTTATTCTGTAGTTTGAATTTATTTATTTTATGTTTTGATAAGCCATTTAAATGATATATGTCATACAAAGAAGAGTTGTATTTCTTCCCTTATAAACTGAGTTTGTCCCTCTCCCTGCCCAATTATTCTGCTCAGAAATTTATAAATCATATTACTTCAATAAAGATCTTTTTAAAAGTAGAATGGAAATCCTTGACCTTAGAGGAAAAACTTCAAACTTTGTACTACACTTTATTACATTAATACTACACTTCAGTACATTAACTGTGCGTGTGTTTTTAAATATGGCCTTCATTACCTAAAGGTGGGCTGGAGCGATAGCACAGAGGGTAGGGCATTTGCCTTGCATGCAGCCAACATGGTCGACCCGAGTTCGATTCCTTCGCCCCTCTCGGAGACCCCGGCAAGCTACCGAGAGTATCTCACCCGCACGGCAAAGCCTGGCAAGCTACCCGTGATTTATTCAGTATGCCAAACACAGTAACAACAAAGTCTCCAATGGAGATGTTACGGGGCCCACTCGAGAAAATCGATGAACAATGGGAGGACAGTGACCTAAAGGTATTATATTATATTTAGAGTTTTTCTTATAAATTGCTATTTAATCTTTCCAAGAGATTTATCTGCATCTGTTTAGATGATCGTTCAATTTTTCAGGGAAGGCAGGCACCCCAGTAGTACTCAGGACCTAGTATTTAATGCTTGCAGTACTTACCTTGGCCTAGGGGGTCTAACAGTTTAATGCTCAGCTCATTGATGCTGTACTCTCAGACTTATGGTGCTTAACGAGACTGGTAGTATTTGGGAGACACTAGAATGCAACTTGCTAGTGATCAGAGAGTGTCATTAGGTGCCTGCCTTTTACCTCAGGACTTTTACATGCAAGGAATGTTCTCTGACCCCCTGAGCTATCTCCCAGTTTGGAAATAAGACATTTATCATTCATTTTGGCGTTTGATATATCACATATTAAATTGGTCATGCTGTACCGCCCTTACATCCCTGCAATGAATCCCATTTGGTTATGGAGTATGATCCTTTCTATATCTAATGTGGTTGGATTATGGACCAAATCTGACAGCGCTTTTTTTTATTGGATCACTGTGAGGTACAGTTACAAACTTTCATGATTATGTTTCAGTCATACAACAATCAAAAACCCATCCATCCACCAGTACACATTTTCCATCACCATTGTTCCCAGTGTCCCCCTCACCACCCCCACCTCACCCCCCCACACACACCTGCACCTCTGTGGCAGGTACATTATTTCTCGTTCTCTCTCTAAATCCGGGTGTTATGACATGAAATATAGATATTATATTTGGTCCTTAGTCTATTTTATAGGTACTAAATTTGGTCCTTAGTCTACTTTCAGCATGCATCTCCCATCCTGAGTGATCCATCCAATCACCATTTACTTAGTTGTCCCTTTTCCATCCCAGCTACCTTTTCCCCAAGCACATGAGGCCAGCATCCAAACCATGGAGTGATCCCCCTGGCCTTTATTTCTACTGTCCTTAGATGTTAGTCTCATATTATGCTACTTTATTTCACAAATGAGGGCAGTCATTCTATGTCTGTTTCTCTCTTTCTGACTCATTTCACTTAGCATGATACTCTCTATGTCCATCCACTTATAAGCAAAATTGTTATAATATACACTATTAGATTTTGTAAATTCTATAAGTTAACTTCTGGCATAGGACTATTAATATGTTTAATCTCGCTAAATTATCACTAAAATAACATAACATAGGAGATAGTTGCACAAACCCTATGTACTTATCTTATATACATGCATATGCTATGTATTTATAGCACTGTCCTCCTGTTCATCGATTTGCTAGAGTGGGTACCAGTAACATCTTTGTTGTGACACTTGTTGTTACTGTTTTTTGGCATAACTAATACACCACGGGGAGATTGCCAGGCTCTGCCATGCGGGCGGGATAGTCTTGGTAGCTTGCCGGACTCTTCCAGAAGAACGGAGGAATCGAACCCAGGTCAGCCTTATGCAAGGCAAATGCCCTGCCTCCTGTGCTATCACTCCAGCTCCATATTTGTCGGTCACGGTCACGGTCCTCCTGTTATTCATCAATTTGCTCGAGCGGGCCCAGTAACGTCTCCATAGTGAGATTTGTTACTGTGTTTGGCACATTGAATATGTCACGGGTAGCTTGCCAGGCTTTGCCGTGCGGGAGAGATACTCTCAGTAGCTTGCCAGGCTCTCCAAGAGGGCCGGAGGAATCGAACTCGGGTCGGCCATATTGGCCGCTTGCAAGGCAAACGCCTTACCCGCTATGCTATCGTTCCAGCCCATATACCATATTTGTAATTATACATAAATATTTCTATGACTTTCTAAAGAACAAAACATTTTTAAAAACAGCATAAATGAAAGTGTGCCTCCACATTCCTATCAGATTTTGTACCACCACAGATCTTGGTTCTTTCATGTTAAGAGTTTTTCCTCACAAACTTCTTTCAGCATTCAAATGAAATAACAAATGGAAATTCAATTTATTACCATGGGATAACCATACTAATGGAAACTAATGGTACTAGTATTATGCCTTTGCACTTCATGCTGAATACAGACTTTAAAATAATCCAAAACATTGTTCACTGAAATGGTCTTTTCCCTCTATTTATATCACATCATGACAAATAAGTGCCCTCCCGCTGATCGTCGATTTGCTCGAGCGGGCCCAGTAACGTCTCCATTGGAGACTTTGTTGTTACTGCATCTGGCATATCAAATACTCTCGTAGCTTGCCGGGCTCTCCGAGAGGGGCAGAGGAATCGAACTCGGGTCGGCCATGTTGGCCGCTTGTAAGGCGAACGCCCTACCCGCTGTGCTATTGCTCCAGCCCAATGGAACCTGAATATTAAATATTTAAGAGAGTAGGGCTCAGCAACAAAAATGTATGCTCAAAAATTTGGCAGAATTTTTATTGATTGAGTGACACTAATTCTTTTTGTATTTAACAATATATCTTCTGAGCACAACATAGTTAAAGCTTTATTTTAGACACTTGGAAATTAACTTTCCTAAATCATAGATCTTTTTCTCAGTAATGGAGAGATCTGTTTCAAAAGTATATTTTCCACTAAGTTTCAAATTCTCTGACAAAAATGAATAGATAGGATGCCATACAGTTAAACAGAACCAACCCTATAGGGAGCAGTATATTTATAAGACACTGAAAATAAGTATATAATATGAATGTTTTCTGAAAATATATTTTTACTGAGAACTGTATTTTGACATTAACATGACTGCTCATGAAATGTGTAAATTCATACATCCCACACATATCCAATTCCTGACTTTTTTTTTATAATAGGAGACAATGACAGATCATTTGACTGCTTTAATTTTCTGAGAGACTATAATGATTCTTTGTTTTCCATGGATCTTTAAACCACTCATAATATCACTAGGGTGAAGTATCAAGTATTCCACTTGACAGCTATTTTGTTTTATCTTCTTTGATTATTTAAAAGTCTCTTGTTGATATTGGGTGTAAATTATGATGAAGTTAGGATGAA